CACAGGTGGAAGCTGGGCTCTGGCTTACCAAGGCTGAGCACGGAGGGCATCTACCAGCTTGGCAAAAAGGGGTTTGCAGCCATTCTGCTGCTTTCACTCTTCAGCAGCAGCATGGAGCACAGTGACCAAGGCCAAATCCTGGACGGTCCTGGGCAGCTGCAGCCTGAAGCTCAGCTCCTTACAGAGCTGCAGTGTTGAGCTGAGGGCAGGATTGGGCCCATGTCCTTCATTATATAACTGCTTCTCCATGTGTTTTTGTAGCTCTCCTGCCGGGCAGAGCCCCCACCAGCAAAGGGGAATGTCATGGTTCTTTGAATGCATAGCTTTGATTTCACACTGGGCCGTAGCAGCAGCCAATTCTACCTACCCCCTCCTCCCCTCCCGCAAACACCTTGCAGGGCATTAACAAAGACGCAGCCCTCTGTTAGCCACTAGCCAGCAAGCTGGAGGTGTCGCCTTGCCTGAGGTGGGTGATGGAGCTATGAGAGAAGCAGACCCGCAGAGGCCAGGCCAGGTCGGTTCATCCATGGAGCTCTTTGAGCGCTGCAGATGAACTGACCTGGCCTGGCCTCCGGGACCCCACGCTGTCCATGCCCTGCCCTGGCTGCCTGCCTGCCCTCACATTCCTGTCCCCGAACATCATCTCCCTCCAGCTGCTGGGGAAAACAGCCCCTGCTGCTACCAGCGGCTGGGATGAGGAGGGGGAGCCGCCTTCATGGCACATGAGCGCTGCGGGAGCTGGGGCTGCTTCTGGCCTTGGAAATACAGGGATGTTTTCCTCCCAGCTCCAGAAGTGGGAGGTGAGGCACAGCTGGCTGGCACTGCGCATTGCTTTCAGCACCACAGGTCACCAATGGGATCCTGGTTACCTTCGCCCAAGAAAACCAGGGGCTGTGCAGTGCTGTCACGCACACCCCCTTGGGTGGTTTGAAGGTAGAAAGGAGGCCTGCCCTGTGCCTAATTTGCAGGCTGAAATGTAGTGTTTCCCCACTAAGTAATGGAGGATACAGTGTGATGGCCAAGAACTAGGAAATGGGGCAGTTGTGGTGTCTCAGGGATGACTAACAGCAGTGGGACAGGTCAGCTGCTCTTCCCCAACACACGGCCAAGGAGGAAGTCCTGACGCCTTCCTGCACGAGTAGCAGCGTATGTGCTGAAGGTGACTTGGAACCACCCTAGGGGCTGGAGCCGTAAGTCAGTACTGGGTATTATTGCCTGTGGACCTCAAAAACAAGAGGGTTTCACCACTGACCTGGTGACATGCGACCAGACCTCACACCTGGAAGCCCAAAGCAGCCCTCAGCAGTTCCTGCAGCATTGCCCCTGGCCCAGCAAACTGGATGTGCCCCATGCAGGGCACGTCTCCAAACTGAACTGCAAATAATTCTGGATCTAAATCAGTCCTGCAGTCTGGGCTAAAAGTCACTCCATGTCCTGGCTCACTCCACTTGATGACTGGCTAATTTTTCTGGTTGTCAATGATATTTTTTCCTGTTGTGGCTGAGGAAGATGTGAGGACAGGAGAAGGGCATGCTAAGATCAAAACAAGAAGCTGCACGTGGGATCCTGCAAATACTTCCATATTTGTGTGCCCCCCCCCCCCCCCCATTACCTATGTGCAGGATCAAGTCTGTAGTACACCAGCAAATACACAGAGTGAACAAATAGTATTAGCAATAAGTGCTCTTTTTCCCTTAATCTCTTCGTATTCTGGAAATCATCATTATTGCCTGGAATAAACACATGCTCTATTTAGCCACAATATGCTCAGTAAATCTCAGGCACCTGGTGCAGTACCTAAGCTGCCCTGCCAAAGTATCCGTCCTACATGCCAGATTGAGACCAGAAGCTGAAGCCTGTAGAGTAGGATCATTGCCTTTCCTGGTCTTATATCATTTGTTATGGGTATTTCCTAGCCAATTCATCACATGCTGCCTGCTAGATCAGACCTGTGTGAAGCTCAGCATTCAACCATACCATGATGTAAGGGCTGCCCGAGCCCAGGCAGGACTGTGGCCCACCAAGCCGTGACTGATGTGTCAGTGAGCAGGGCAGTGATTTGCAGCACTGGCAGATAGCAATGCTTGACATGTAATTCTGCAAACATCTGCTCCCACATCTGACTTCCCCACACAGTCCAAACCTACCAGCAGAGCTGCCTTTGCTCTCTCTTCGCATGCCCATCCTTGGGAAGTGGTGGTGGGATGGGGCTGCTGGCTGTCACAGAGCAGTTCCAGGGGCTGCGCTGCTCTTTGTGCAGCCCACACGACTCAGCTGTGTCAGGGACTGATTCACCATCGCCAGCTGTAAAGCTGACTTAGCACTGATGGATGGATCCTGATGGATGGGGACCGTGCATCTCTGCCTACAGCCTGAGCAGGGGACATACCATTCCTAGGGGAATGCTGCACCTTGTCTGTGGGGAGCAGCCCCAGCACTGAGCAGAGACCACAGGACAGTCTGTCCTCTACCAATGGGAGCAGTGCCTGGGACAAGAATGGCATCACAGCAGGCATCAGAGCCTGTGTGTCCCACAAGAAGCCTTTTCCAAAGCCCTGTACTTCTCCTGGGCTGCTTCCCCATCAGCCAGCAGTAGGCTTTTCAGCTCGGCAAGAAGCTACTTGTTTCAAAAGAAAATCATTAGCAGCTCAGCTCTTCGCCCAAACCTATTGCAGAGAAGGTCTCGCTCTCTCCTCCTCTGTCCTGGAAGATGCTCCTTACACTTGCTGTGCAGAAAATATGACCTTTTTCCTCCTCACATGCACATGCTGTCATTTGCAGGCCCATGCATCTTGCTACAGAGGGGCCACGGCAGTTAAACACACATAATAACCTTGCACTACCACTGCAGATATCTGTATGTGTTGTTTTTTTCCAATGGCTCTAGTACCAAAATATCTCAGGCACAAAAGGATTTGGACTCTACATTTACAGCTAATGATCTGTACAGGAGTCTAAGGAAAATACATAGTAACCCTGCTAATGGCTGCAAGTAGGAATGCTTTAGGCCCTCGCTGCTTCTGGTGCTGCTCAGGAAATTATGCTTTCAGCTCCCGAATGCAACAAAAACCTCTCTACTGCTGCAGACACGATGGCTCTTCTGGACAGAAGGAAGGAATTGACTGCGCTAATGCCATTAACCGCCTTTAAAGCACCCATGGAGGATGTACAGCAAACACTTCCCAGTCATTCAGCAACTGGGGTTAGCTCAAGCCAGCCTGTGAATTCCCCTGGTGTGCTCTGCTCCAAGTACTACCTGCTCGCCCCACCCCAGGAGACAGCAGGCAGTCACAGAGCTCCCTGGGCATAGACCTAGGGCACTTGTGACCCCAGGGTCCCCCCTGTAAGCAAGGCAGCCTTGCAGCTCCCACCCTGGGGAAAGCACTGCAGGATAAGGCCTCCCTGGTGTTTCATTTTCCTCTCATCACCTGCCCTTTCCCTCCCCAGGAAAGGCAAAAGGAGCTTTGCCTGAGAAGGATCAGCAAGATGCACTTTTGCGAGGCATGTCTCGGCAGTGACAAATCCAGCAGCGGCCACAGTCACCTGCTGCATCTTGCTGCCCATGCTGAGCGTGACCTGGGCAGGAAGGTGCCTGTTTGGATGGGGAGTCCCCCTCTCGCCATTACCCCTTCCCATGCAATCCACCCGGCGTGCCACCCTCCTCAGATTGACTCATGCTGAGGCAATGGTAGAAGCTTCTCCCTGGTGTGGTGGCAGATTTTGCAATCTGTTTTAATGAGGTATTTACAAGTTTGGAAGCTGGCTCCTTGCACAAGGAGTGCGGCCTGGCCCTGGCAGCTGGTTGGGCTTTTCATTGACATTCCTGCAACTCACCCCATTGCAGCACAGTGGAAAACATTTAGACATCAGAAATGCCTGATTAATTACCCTTTAATTGATACCTCTACTCGGGGACAAATGAAACCGGAACATCTCTACTGCCCTGGGAGCCTGCCACTTACAAACAGATTTACAGCTAAAAATACCGCGGCAGTCCCGTGGCTAATCAACTTCACTGCTCACCCTGGGTGAGGTTATGAAATTGTCTCGGGATGGCACTGCGAGCTGAGAGAGACCAGCTCCAGCAGCAGGGAACACATGCAAACTCCGTGAGGGCTGCTCGAGCTGAGCCTACAATCCAGCCAGAGCCCCAGACGCGAGGCTTCTCGCACGTTCCTGCCCCTGTCATCAAAGGCTGCAGAAAGAAAACCTCATCCCTGTGTCTCATGAGACCTTAAGTCCCCGGTGCTGTTTCCCCAGGGTAAGATTTCCATTTGGCTCAGGAATCGCGATCAGCGCTTTCAAGGGCCTTTCTGTGCAGTGAACTCCTGCAGCTACAACACATCCCACGGGATCTCCTCCCTCCTTCCCTCCCCCATTTCCTTACAGGAATGCACACACAGAGACCAGATCACCACAGTGACCCCAGTTTCTTTTAAATTACTGTCATCTTTATTTTCTTCATGTATGTGCAAACAGAGGAGATCGCAATGGTGGTGTTCTTAAAAATAACAAAATGTATTTGCATACATTTCCCTATGTACAGGTGAACAGCCACAAGTAGAGTCTTCTTTTGCACAGCAAAAGATCTGGAGCACTGAGACCGGGGACGGGACTGGGGCCCCAAAAAAGGTCTAACTTAGAAATAACAATAATTAAAAAAACAAAACCTTCACAACAGTGCAAACCTCTCGGACACGACAGCACAATGGAGTGACTTTAATGGAGAAAACGGCGGGGGGGCCCTCTCGGATGTGAGATTTCTGACTGTAAACAAGGTGCAACACCTCCCTCCCGCCGCCCTCCCCCGGGAAAGCTATTCCAGGAATTTGGCAGGTCTTCAAGGGCTGAGCCGGAGGTAAACAGCCCGCGGCAGCCTCCCCTCCTCGGGATACGGCGGGCTGGGGCCCGGCTCCGGTGTCGCTGCCCGGGATGCGGCGGGACGCGGGGGCGCCGCAGGGAGACCGTTAGCTCCGGGGGGAGGGGGGGTGCCCGGCGGGGGCAGGCAATCTCGGCGGGGCCCGAGGGGACCGAGTGCATCCCGGCGGGGCCGTGCACCCCCGGAGGGGACCCAGTGCATCCCGGCGGGGCCGTGCACCCCCGGAGGGGACCCGATGCGCCCCGGCGGCGCCGCGCACTCCCGGAATGGCCCGCGGACCCCCGGCGCGGCCGAGCGCTCATCCGGTCTCGGGGTCGCCGGGGGACGGCTGCTCGGCGCCGTTGCAGGGTGGAGCGGCGCCGTCCGGGCCGTTGCTCTCCAGGGAGGACTCGCTGCCCGTGCTTTCGCCGGAGAGCAGCCGGCGGACGCGGAGGTCGGCGCGCAGCGAGCGCAAGTCGTTGCCCAGGCTGAGCTCGCCCAGGTCGCGGAGGAGCTGGCCCAGCTCCTGGCCCTCGCCGGGGCTGGCGCCGGCGCGCAGCAGCTCGCCCTCGGGCTCGCCCAGCGCCTCCAGGATATCCTCGCAGTCGCAGTGCATGGCCCGCTCCTCCTGCTCCTCGCCCAGCAGGTCCTCCGTGATGGAGCCCAGCTTGGGCGCGCTGCGGCTCCGCTCCACCGGCGGCTTGTAGCAGCACTGCCCGTTGAGCAGCTTGCGCAGCGGCACCAGCGGGATGCTCTGCTCGCCCACCAGCTGCTGCTGCTGGTGCCGCGCGTCGTCCCGCTTCTTCAGCCGGCGAAACTCGGCCAGCGCCGTGGCCGAAGTCTGGTAAAGCAGCAGGGCCATGGCCTTCGCCTTCTCGGGCTTAGAGACCAGCACGGCGTGGCACCGCAGCATCACTGCCTTGTGCTTCAGCTCGTGGCGGTAGATCCAGGCGAAGACGCGCGGCAGGCGCGGGTCGGCCACACAATAAGTGACCCGGTGCAGCAGGTAGAGGTGGCCCGGCCGGCGCAGCCCCTTGTCCTCGGCGTGAGCCATGCGGATGCCCTGCGCGCTGATGGTCAGCTTCATCTTGGTGCCCTGCCGGCCGGCTTCGCTCTTGCTCCAGATCTTGCAGACGGCCAGGTCGGTGCAGCCCTCACCCTTGGACTGGATAGTGGTGGCGTTGCCCAGGTAGAGCACAGTGTACGTGGGGTCCTCGCTGGTCACGCGGAATTTCCGCCGCTTGGAGCGGAACATGCTGCCCACACGGTGCAAGGCGCTCTCGGGGCAGGCGCGGGCCAGCGAGGTGAGCGCCGAGTAGTGCACACTCACCGCGTACCCCTTGGGCTTGCTCTGCCGCCTTGCCTCGCCGGCCACCAGCTCCACCTTGCTCCGCTTCCAGGGCAGCATCGCCCCGCGAAGCCGCGGCTAGGCGCCGCGACGACGGCTCCGGGCGCGGGGGGGCATGCCACGGCAGCGGCGGCTGGGCTGCCCGCCCGCCTCACATCCTTGCGGGCTGCGGGCCGCCGCTGTCGTAGATATAGGCGGGCGCCGGCGCTCCGCGGGCGCGAAGAGGGGAGGCCCCGCGTACCGAGGGCGGAGCGCCCGCTGCCGCGGCCCGCCGAGCCGGCGGCGCGCTGCTCGCCGCCCGCCCGCCGCCGCCGGTCTGCGCCGCCCGCCGCGGCGCCCCGGCCCCGGCCTCGGCGTGCCGTGGGGCGGGCTGGGGGCGGGCACGGGGCGGTACCAACCCGGCCCTCTCGTAGCCCTCTCGCCCCGGCCCCGCAGAGCGCGGCATCCAGCGGGAGCCCTGGCAGCTGCGCCCTGGACCTGAGAGGAGGGCGCTGCGGGGTTCCGGCCTGCGGTGAGCGCGACCCTAGCGCATGCTGTCCGGGTACGTCCCCAGGGGAGCCGTACCCATGGCCACGCTCCCGAGGCGGGAAGAATGAAAAGAACAGCGGGGCCCGGGGGGACATGTTTGGAACCGGCAGCTCAAAACCTCCCAAAATGATGACAATCTCAAGGCCACTGTGGGGCCTCACACTCCGGGAGAACCCGAACCCCGGCAGCTTTCCCGGCCAGGGCGTGCAGTGCAGGAGCCCCACTCTTGCAACATAATTTTCCCTTTGATTTGGTTAGTACGGCTCTGAGAGCTGAAGAGCCTGCAGCATATAAAAGCTATTATGCGTGAGTAATGCTTTGCTCTTCATTTACACGCAGCAGCAGAATAACAAGAAGCTGTCTTGCAATTTCTTGCTGGGGTTGTTGGAGTACAGGCACAGACATAATGAGAAAGTTGGTCTCTGTGTCGTTGCTAGAGCTTCGTATGTGATGTATCATGTCCTTTGTCAGAAAGAAGAGAAATTCCAAGGTTGTGGAGAACAGCCCTTTGTCAGTGTTTGAATAAAAGCTCAACAAAAAGGAAGCGGTACGTACATGTGCAGTGTGATATGTAAAGGCCTAGCTTAAATTATTTGACAAATCATTTCTGGAGTTTGGATCAATTAAAATCAACCCGTGTATAGTTATCATTATGGTTATTATAATTATTGTTATAGCATTATGCCATCTAGCAGATTACTTGAGAACTGCAAGTGACTACTTGAGACAGGCGTCAAATCGTTCAAAGCATCTCTCATTTGCTTACATTTCCAAAATTCCCTCTCCCTGGAGGGCAGCATCATCAGCGCCGTCCCCTGAGGCTGCTTGGCCACAGCCGGTACCAGGGGACGCCTGACCGCGGTCACGGTTTCCAGAGGCGGGTGGTGGTTGTGGATCTGCAACACGCTGCATTTCCTGCCTTCAGCAGCGCAGCACTTTTGCAGTGTTAGGAAGGCTGTGGCTGGCCCTGAGAAGTGAGCGTGTTGATGCTCTGATTTTCCTGTGGGAAAACTGCTGCGTGGGCTGGGCACACAGTAGTCAATGCATAGGAGCTGTTGCATGGCAGAGGAAGCTGCCTTGGCCCCTTGGGGTAAAGCCCAGCACCCACCGAGATGCCTGCTTGGCCTCTGGAGCACAGTTCCGTGGGACTCCACAGGAGTCCAGAGGGGCCGGTGAGGGGCTGAAGTTCACCCCAGCTGCTGGTACCCAGCACCAGCTGCCCCAGCTGGGGGTCCCTGAGTTCAGCCATGGGCTGGGGGCAGGGCACCCATCGGGAGCCCCTGTAGCACTGCTGGTGTGGAGGGCAGGAGGGAATGTGTGCCATGCTGCAGTCCACTGCAGGCAGCTCCCGAGTACCAGGAGGTGGTTTGTACCGTTTATTCACTTCACCTCCAGAAGCACCTGAGGTGCTTTTCCTTTGTCTCCTTTGTCTTGCAAGGTGAAAAGGGAAGACACTGCTGTGCACAGAGAATAAATCCAGCAGGTTATGGTGACACGTGAAACTCACATGAGGTGTGGCACTCCTGCAGTGCCCACAGAGCTGCCTTCTCCCCTCGACCTGTCCTGCTGAACCAGTGTGGCGAGAGTCCACAGTTCATGCCCGTGGTCAGCTCTGCCACCTCCCTGAACAGTGCCTGTGAGCAGCAAGGCCGAGAGCATCCCTGGCTGCTGCTCTGAGGCGCATGGGCCTGGCAGCCTCTCTGCAAGCAGGAGTTGCTTTTTTTTCCTCCTTCCAGCTATGGGCAGAGGAGCCCTTCCTGGATCCGGGGCTGGTGGCTCCACAGGCAGGGGTGTGCTCTGGGCGGGATGGAGCAAGGGAGGATCCCCCCAGGCCTCCCTGCAGCCCTGTCTCCGGAGGGAGGTTAGTGCTGGAGGGGCTGGTACATGGACACTTGTGACAATGACTCCCACGGAGCTGCTTGCAGAGCCATGCTGAACTCTGCTGTCCTGATGGAAGTGACCTGGGTTCAGAAATGATACCTTCAATTTTCACAGTGTGGTTTGCACAGGCTGCCAATCCTTGTGTCTCTCCAACAGCACTTGGGCACACCTTTCTACAAGCCCCAGTGGTGTGTAAGGTGAGGAGGAGCCCTGACCCCCTTGCCCTCCTCACCACCTCCCCAGTCCCCAAGTCAGCAGTATTTCTGCTTTGCCTTCTTGGGGCAGAGGTTCCCTTCAGAGACCCACTGGGGGCTCCAGGTGTTGGTTTGGGAGCAGCAGCATCCTTGGCGTAGCTGCCTCTGGGCCAGCTGAAAGTGCAGCAGCAGGGAAGGTGTCTTATGGTTACAGCCCTGCTTGAGGATGGAAACTCTCATAGCTCAGTTCCTTGCCATGCTTGCTCACCAGTTGGCATGCCAGACCATTGCAGCCTTCCTTGCCTCATTAATGGGCCAAATTATCTTCAGGACCATCTATTTCCTGCTGTGCAGTGGCTGCTTCAGTCCTGAGCATGGAGGATCACTGCATGCTTCAGCAGCAGAAGAGTACATTGCAAGTCATGGTGGCCTGTGACGGCAATTCCCAAACAAAATGCTGACTCCTCCTAGCCCCATGCTGGCTGAGGGGTTGTGCCACAATGTTTGGGTGAAGTCCAGCAGCAGGGAGCTTGGGGCACCTGCCCTAAGCGTAGCACTATTCTCGTGACACTGGATGTCTGTGTTTCACTACCAGGAGGAGAGACGGAGGCACAGCGAGAGGGGAGCCAGGGCATGCTGCCTGGTTCCCAATGAGCATGAGGCTTGCTCCCTACCTGCAAGGCCAGCAGCACCTGTGCTGTGTAGGACATTTACACTGGGGGCTTATCTGCATGGCCCTGTAGCCTGTGGGAGCCCAGCAGCCTGCTCTCTTTATGCAATACCCCAGCAGCTCTGAGCATCACCTGCCTGCATGTGTGCACTGGGAGGGCTTGTGCGAGGCGTGGGAAAGTCTGTCAGATACCATCTCTCCCCACAGCCCCATGCCGGCAGTGCAGTGAGTGCTGCACTTGGCTCTTGGCAGAACCCCTGTCCCTGCCCTGCTCCATCCTCCTCTGCTCCTCACTGCTCCGGTCAGTGCTCAAGACCATGGTTGCACTCCAGACTGAGCCCGTGGGCTCTGGGGTGCAAGCTGCCCTGCTGAGGCATAGGCAGGTGGGCAGTTCCCCACTGCCTCTGTTGGAGGGGGATGCTGGGCTGCCCATGCTGGCTGCCCAGGGACAGCATCTGCCCAATGGAAGAGAGTACAACCCTACTTAGAGCAGTCCTGCTTTGTGCTTAGTAGCCAGAACTGGAGCTGATGTGGGTCTCTGCTTGGGGAAGAGTAGAAGGAAAAGATGCTGAGAAAAGTTGATATGACAAGCCCAAAATAATTCATGGGAATGTATTGGTTTTGTCAGCTTATGTAAACCCCCCCAGATAGCAATGGAGCTCATGCAACAGCAGCTGTGGTGACACAAAGTGAAACATTTCAAACTGGCATTTCAGTATTTTCCAAAGCAAAGTATTTCAGAGACTCTGTAACTATGCTAAATGTCAATGTTTTCTTTGTTCCGGAGTGGAACAAAGGAAATTCTGAACTGTCAGGATTTTCCATGAAATGGAAAGGTTGAGCAGCACCTGGGCCCTGTGGGCCATCAGTGGGGGCAGGCAGGATGCTGCATCCTCCATCCCTGCTGGCCATCGTTCAGATCTCACCAGCACTAGCTGTAGATGGCTGCAGGCTGCTGTGATCTGGGGCAGCGGGAGATGAGCTGGTGGGGTAGAGAACAGAATCTCCTGCTCAGGGAGAAGGGTCCTTAACAGCCCGTAATGGATGCCTCATGACACCCCTGCTACCTTCCTGCCCTTCCAAAGGGGATCAGCATCCTATTCTGCCAGCCACCGTGTGCTGGCAGGGTTTCTGGGGGTGATGGTGAAGTGGGGTGAGGACTGTGGGGAGTCCATGCAACGATGCCTTGGATCTCCCTGTGTGCACTGAGAGCGATGCCGGTGCAGCTTAGAGTGCTGCAGCCGGGGTCACCAGGGCCATGGCCGTGGTGGCACACCTCCACCACGGTTGTTTTTCAGCTGCTGCGGGCGGCACACCCGCTTCCTGCACAGGCGGCCCCGGCGCTTCCTGCACCCACAGCTATAACTAGAAGGGCAGCCGGCAGCCAGGGGCACAGAACCCTCCTCCTGCAGGGGTCACAGCACCCGTGGGGGTGCTCGCCGGGCTGGTGGGGCTGTGCTACTGCCCATCCTGCCATGCTGCCAGCCAGCACGTGCAGAGGTGGCATCGGGGTGGCATCTTCTGCTCGATGCCCCGTATTAGGGACTGCCACCATGGGGCCATCCCTGCCCGTGTGGAGGGGAAGATAGTGCAGGCAGCGGTGGGCAGTGGGGATGAGCCTGCCCAGGCAAAGCCAATACAAAGGGAGCTGGAGAAAGCCCCTGCCAGATACTGCCTGTCACTTTGCACCATCGAAGAGGCAAAGCCAATACAAAGGGAGCTGGAGAAAGCCCCTGCCAGATACTGCCTGTCACTTTGCACCATCGAAGAGGCAAAGCCAATACAAAGGGAGCTGGAGAAAGCCCCTGCCAGATACTGCCTGTCACTTTGCACCATCGAAGAGGCAAAGCCAATACAAAGGGAGCTGGAGAAAGCCCCTGCCAGATACTGCCTGTCACTTTGCACCATCGAAGATGCAGGCAGCTCTTTCTAATTAATCTTCCCTCACCCTGTCAGGCAGGGAAGTGATTTTTATCTTTAGCAGAGTCTAAAACACTTGCTCGAGGG